ATAGCACACTTGAATAAACTTATTTTTCGTAAGGGTTGTTACTTTGGATGTTTTGTTTATAATATTTATTTTCATTTACATGCAATATCAATTGCACCCAATTTATTACAGTTTTTTTTTCCAACTGCTTACACACAAAATCTTTACTTGTCGCACAATTTCTGAAAGCTGACCCTCAAACAGCAGAAGCACAAGTATCGTACACAGCAGCTCATGAAAGAAGAGCTTTAGGTTTTGAATAACTGTGTATATGATATCCAAAAATATACTATTTTGGCAAACGTAAGACAAACTGTGTGCAATTCTTGGATTTGTGTGAAAAGTGTAGAAAAGAAAAAACAGGCAAAGTTGTGAAAATGTGTGTAAGTAATGTGTGCAAAAAATAAAAACTAGTAACAATTGCGTGCACTTTATTTTTTTCAATTGGAAAACACTAGAGTGCACTGTTTTCCATTCATTTCAACTTTCAAACAAGGCATTAAAAAAAGCCCTACTATTATACATAATTGTAATGTGAGTTAATCAGAAAATGCAGTGTGCTTGTTTTGCTCGCGGAGGACGCTGAAGCCCACACCGCGGGGGCCGTCGCGTGACGTCACAGAGGAGCAACATCCGGGACACCGGGACGGAGCTCATGTGAAAGCCTGCACTCTTCCCCGACGGACTGCACGCGCGGAGAGCGACGGAGGTGAGTTTCAGCTGCGCGTGATGCTCGCTTGCGCTTTTAAGTGGGATGCGAGGGTTTGGGGTTCCTTGGAAGCAAGCGGGAATTGTATAACTGCTAGTTTTGACAGAGAAAAACAGCCCAGGTATAGTATTGCGAAGCAAAACACAGGAACCCATCCCAGCACGAGTGTCTTCTGTGCTGTGCCTCTGTCACACCTCTGGGACCAGCTGCTGACGGTCAAGGCATCACTGCATCTTTTTTAGGCCCTTACTTTAGAGATACATCATATGTCCTGCTCACTCGGAGCTCATTTACCTTGCAAATGTTGGTGCTGTGCTTGTGTAAGGAATTCAAATGGTCAACCCAAAGCAAACTTTCACTTCCAGACATTGTATTGTTTTTTATTCTATTTTATTCTCTTGAATGTTCATAAAAGCCCGAATGCGTCGTAGGTCAAGTAAGGTCGTCTTAACCGTGAATTGCTCCTGCTGTGTCACATGAAGTTGTGAATGCCCTTTGCTCCTTGGGAACTTTTACATGTTCTGCGTCCCTTAGGTTTGACTGTCACATATCTGTCAGTGTGTGTGGAATAGATCATTTGGGAACAGCTGAAAGAAAGCAGATATGTTGTTATGCTCTGCTTGTCCATTATAATGAAAGGAATATGAGAAGGACACACACAAACTGTGTGTGTGTGAGAGAAACGGTCTGACCACAGTGACACACCTACAGGTGCGGCTGCCAGGGAGTCATGACTCACTTCACTTGCACTTTAAAGACATTTCTGTCATGACAACTCTCCGAGGGATTGGCATGGTAATGTACATGACAATGTTAATGTATTTGATCTTGGCGGAATAGATCTGCTACGCTGCTGCTGCTGCTGCGGCAGAGCAAGTACCGAGGTATCGGTATCGGCCAATACCGAACCCTAGGTATCGGAATCGGTATCGGAGGCGTTAGACCTGTCGGACTGCGCCATCTAGCGTTTCATGTCAGAACTCTGTATATCTGTCATTTGTGCCATAATTTAATCTGTAGGCCTGTAATTACCTGGGAAAGTTTCACATATGAACTGTGTTGTGTTGGTTCTACATATTTGAAGGGCTAACAAAGCAATAAGCCCCTAGAAGCCATGGTTTACAGTGAATTTATAACAGCCAAGGGGCGTGGTTAGGCACGATGCGGAGCGGAGTGCCTAAAACCCCCTTAGCTGTCATTCATTCATTCATTCATTCATTCATTCATTCATTTGTGGACATTCTTAATGCATCATTGACCCACAAGTGTACCACTTGTCCAAGGGTTATGGGACCTCTGCTACTATGATATTACCTTGTCCTCTGTACTATTGACATTCATTATTCGTCTTTGACAGCATTCAAATATATGCACTCTAGGTAGAAGATAGCCATAGCAACTCCCCATTGGTGGCTGCTGTCCTACAGAGTGGCAAATTTTTATGACAAGCTTTTGTACGTCTGTACATCATTGTACACACCTTTACTGATGCCTCAGGGTTAGTACAAACTGAGATGTTTTTTTCTTTTCTTATTTTTCCATTCGTCTTACTGCACTGGTTTCTTATGTCTTATGCTAAAGAGTGGATGTGTTGCAAAATTTGTTGACTGCCTGCATAGGCAGCATTTTAAGACATAATAGACGTACTACAGACATGTTTTGTCTCTTGGAAATGCACTGAACTTGGGGTACAGATGTAAATTTACTTTCCCTAACAACAGTAACATACACTGTATGGACAAAAGTATTGGGACACCTGACCATGAAACCAACAGGGACTTTAATGACATCGCATTCTAAATACATAGACATTAATATGGGGTCGAACACCATTTTGCAGTTGTAATGGCTTCCACTACTTGGCTTTCCACAAGACTGTGTAGTGTTTCTGTGGGGATTTTTGCCCATTCATCCAGCAGAGCATTTGTGAGGTCAAGCACTGATGCTGGACGAGAAAGCCGGGTTTGCAATCTCTGTTCCAGTTCATCTCAATGGTTTTGGATGGGGTTGAAGTCAGGGCTCTGTGTGTCAAGTTCTTCCACACCAAACTCATCCAACCATGTCTTTATGGACCTTGCTCTGTGCTCTGAGACACAGTCATGCTGGAATAAAAAAGGGCTTTCTCCAAACTTTTCCCACAAAGTTGGAAGCATAGCGTTGTCCAGAATGTCTTGATATGCTTCACAAAACTTTACAGTCGGCACAATGCAGTCAGTCAGGTAATGTTCTCCCGGTGTCCACCGAACCCGGATTCACCCATCAGGCTGTCAAACAGAGAAGCGTGACTCAACAGAACAGGTTTCCACTGCTCCAGAGTCCAGTGTCGACGTGCTTTACACTCCATCTGGCATTGTTCTTGTTGATGAGAAGCTTGCATGCAGCTGCTTGGCCATTAAAACCTATTCCATGAAGCTCTAGCCGCACAGTTTTTGTGCTGATATTAATGCCAGTGGAAGTTTGTAACTCTTCAGTGTTGGCAGCTTTTATGTACTATACACCTTGGCACTCAGTGACCCACTCTGTGATTTTATGTGGTCTCCACTTCTACAGTTTGCTGCTGTTCCTAAATGCTTCCACTTTCCATGGAATATCTAGCAGGGAGGAAATTTCACGACCGGACTCACAGTAATATGCTTGAATTCACTGAGCTTTTCAAAACAACCCATTTTTCTTCACAAATGTATACAATTGGCAATGGGTCTAATTTAAACACCTGAATTCAATAATTAAGTGGTGAGTCCCAATACTTTTTCCATATAGTCTAAAAACCAAATTTTTACATTTCTGCCACTGAAAAAAAGTAAATCAAGGTAATTATGACTTTTTATTAGTGGTCGACCGATATTGTTTTTTTTGACAGCCGATGCCGATATCTAGGAAAGCAGGGTGGCCGATATAAAGCCGATATAATTGCATTTATTTTAATTAATATTTAAGAAATTTTAAATAATTTGAAAATGGATTAAAAATTTAATTTGTAAAATAAACATACTTATACTTTGGGTGACAAAGTATTTTCCACAAATAAATAAATATTTAATAAAAATATAATTAAAAAGGAAGAAAACTGTAACCAACAGAGCACTCATTATTCTGGGAAGTTTGTGTGCATTGGGAATCATATTAAAACAGTGGATGAGTAATTCACTCCTTGATTTGCTTAATAAAAGCCTCCTTTAAGATCGTTTTGACAGACATGTTTATTGTGCATTTTAAACGTGTTTATTGCTAAGTTTAATGTGGCAAAATAGAAGCACAGCTGTAATTCGTGGGCAATGTATGTGAATGTGAATATGTAGATTTACTATAGCAAAACTAAAATGTGTTTAAAAGTACGTCTGACCAAATTCACCGGTTCGGTTTGGCCCCCCCAAGCTCAAACGTCAAGCTATGCCTATGGTGGGGGGGCGTGTTAGAACGAGCCGTTTTAGGAGGGCGTGACTGACTCTTAACTTTTATAAAGAATATCTCTTTGGATTTGAGACTTTAGTCTTTGCAACTTTACAGATCTTCTTTATGCACCAACAGCTTGTAACACTCCAAAGAGAAAGGACAAATTGAAATCGCATTATATGACCCATTCACAGCTTGGGGACTTTTACTGTATGATTAACTGGAACAGGTTCACCTTAGACAGAAATGACAGCAGTGTTTGTGTAGGTCTCATCAGGCTTGTGTGTGTGGATGAACAGACCGGTTGCATATGTGACCTTTCTGCTGGGAAACAGGTTTTGGCACTTCAAACTCTTGATGATTAGTAGAACTTAATATTCTATAGTCTATGTAAAGAAATAAAATCATTAACCATTCTTTGTCAAAAATCTAGCACACTTATTTTAAGAATAGCTTGTCTGTCACGCGTGTATCTTGTGATTTAGAAACCTCTGCCACTGATTAACTTTTTTACCAGTGCGGTCACACCATGGTCAGGTCTTTTACACTAGTCTGAGAGTTTGACCTGTGATCGCATCATGGTAAATAGTCAATCTTTAAGCCGGCGTGAAAATCACTGAATATTTCAGCTCAGATTGAACTAATATGGAAGCAGCTAGAAAGTTGAATAAAGTTGTGTATTGTGTTGAGTGTAATGAGCTCCACCTGCTCTGTTGTCATTGTGCGGGTTACAGCTGACTGCACCTGGGCCAGCCTTCATATGTGTGACACCCTGCAGTGCTTTGTGTTCAGTCTGACTCTATCACGGCATGTTTGATAATCGAGTACTAAAGCGGTTCTGATAATGCAGTTACTGGAAAATATGCAAATATGCTGCACATATTAATGTTTTTTAAATTAATGTAATATGATGTAAATTCAAAATCACAAAACCCTATTTGTAAGTTATTATATATTTATTATAAAGTTGTTCTAATATTAATAGTTACTGAATTTTTTTTAATTTTTCTTTACCATTCTTAAAATTATAATATAATATAATATAATTTGTTCACATGTTGAAAAATATGCAAAAAAAAAGTTTTTTCATTACAGTTCTTAGCTGAAAAACGAAAATATATAATATAATATAATAGTGCTGGGCGTTATACCGGTTCATACTGAATACCGGTGTTTATTTTTGTTATGATATGAATTTTTAAAATACCGCAATACCGGTGTATGTCGCTTAAACAACGTTCGGAAAGCGACACTGTTTGAAAGAAGTCCCTTTTCACTGTTGCACTGTGGTGAGGGAACAGCTGTGTGTGTTACTAAGCGTGAAAGCTGTAGAACTAATAGAACGTAATGACACAGAAGAACTCATCCACAATATCCACACTGACCTCCACAAATATCCAGCGCCCGCTGCCATCAGCTCCCGCGTCTCTCTCACACACACCAGCGCGACTTTAACACTAGATTTAGCAACTTTCAGACCCTTTAAGCGGCTTTTTCCATAGAATATTCATACTGACAAACCTAGAGACTTTTCTGGATAAAGCTTAGCTATGGTTCAGTTGGAAGATTTCTCCAGTGCTGTCCCGCGAACGCGAGGTCTGGCTTTC